TTTTTTTTTTTTTTTTTTTTTAGTAGTTTAGATTATGTAAAATTGCATTTTGTGCCTATATTGCACTCTGGAGTTTTCATGTCATCGATGAAAAGTCTGGAAATTTGCCTCGGCCGGAGCGGCTCCATTGGTTAAGCATCGCCTTGTGCACCGAAAGGTTGCTGGTTGGATTCCCGATCAAGGCACATACCTGGGTTGTGGGTTCGATCCCCAGGCTGGGCACGTAGGGAAGGCAGCTGATTGATGTTTCTCTCTCCCTGCTTCCCTCTCTCTAAGCATGTCCTTGAGTGAGGACTGAAATAATAATAATTATAGTAATAATAGCCTAGAAATTTGACTTAAAGAAGGTCATCAGGCCCTGGCTGGTGTGCTCAGTGGTTAGAGTGTTGGCCTGTGCACCAAAGGGTTGCAGGTTTGATCCCTGGTCAGGGTTGGGGCGTGTGAAGGAGGCAACCAATCGATGTCCCTCTTTCACATCAATGTTTCTCTCTCCCTCCCCCTCCCTCCTACTCTCTCTAAAAATCAATGGAAAAAATTCCCTCCAGAGAAGGCAGGGTGGGCTACTTCCCTCAATTGCACAGCAGTGTGGTCGGTGCACTCAGGTGCCGGCCCCGCAGACTCTGGAAACATTTGTTAAATGCGGTGTTTTGCGCATCAGGAGAGCTGAGGCAGGAGCAGAGCCGGGGGCAGGAGGGCCGGGCCTGGTGCTTCAGCCCAGGTCGCGTCTGCTGTGCCTCGTCGGGCCCTGGCTCTACCCGGACTCGGGACCTGGTCTTCATTTCCGTCTCCGCGCAGGCTACCTGGGCACGAAGATACTTCCTGGGACCTCTGCTTTTCTCTTGCTGCTTTTAAGATTCTTTCTCTATCTTTAACCTTTGGCATTTTAATGGTGATGTGTCTTGCTGTGGGCCTCTGTGGGTTCCTCTTGTTTGGGACCCTCTGTGCTTCCTGGACTTGTAAGTCGATTTCTTTCCCCAGGTAGGGGAAGTTTTCTGTAATTATTTTTTCAAATAGGTTTTCAATTTCTTGGTCTCTTTCTTCCCCTTCTGGCACCCCAATAATACGAATGTTGGGCCTCTTGAAGTTGTCCCAGAGGCTCCTTATACTATCTTCATATTTCTGGATTCTTTTTTCTTTTTGCTCTTCTGGTTGGGTGTTTTTTGTTTCCTCATGTTCCAAATTGCTGATTTGATTCTCAGCGTCCTCTACTCTACTGTTGATTCCCTGTAAATTATTCTTCATTTCAGTTCCTGTAGCCTTCATTTCAAATTGGTACTTTATTATGTTATCGATTTTCTCAGTTATTTCCCTAATAGTCTGCTTAAACATCCTTAAAACCAAAATTCTGAACTCTCTATCTGTTAGCTTGCTTGGATCTATTTCATTTCATTCCTCTTCTAGAGATTTGTTCTGTCCTTTTCTTTGTGACATGTTTCTTTGCCTCCACATTTTGGCTGCTTCCAGGTGTTTGTTTCTATGTATTAGGTAGAGCTGCTGTGTCTCCTGGAATTTGTAGAGTGGCTTTGTGTAGTAGGTGTCCTGTAGTGTCCAGTGGCTCAGCCTCCCGTCTCCTGAGCTGGGCCTTCTGGGTGCTCCCCTGTGTGGACCGTGTGCCCTGTCCTGTTGTAGTTGAGCCTTGGTTTCTGTTGGTGTCACTGGGAGGAACTGACCCCCAGGCCAATCATCTGTGAGGACCAGCTACAACTACAGCCAAAGAGCTGCTGTGCTGGAGACACCCCTATGGAGCAGGATTTACTTCAGTGGAGCTTTGGTGTTCACCAAGTGCGCCCCT